CTTCAGTAGCTCGAGGCACATTCTGTGTTATTGCTAAAATGTCGCTTTCGTTCAATCTGAAAATTTGTGAGCTACACCTGCGAACACTGGGCTGCGCTGAAATGATTCACTCAACACGACTTATCATACCGCATCGCCGACCGGGCTAGTGAGTAGTAGGGGCTGTGCTGTGGTGTAGGTGCCAAGCAGAACTGAATAGACAAAACAAAACATATTTAATAATAATTATTGAATAATGCGATTAATAGTATAAGTGAAGCGGACATTACAAAATGATGAATGAGGATACATGTATCTAAAATGGTTGTTCCTAATCGATTTTCTTGAGACTATCATCAGGGAAAAATTCGTCTCACAATAGAGGCTATACGGAGAAACAAACTACTTATAGGTTATCGGATAGTGGGAAGTATACAAGGTGAGGTGTGAAAAACAAAACTAACTAAAGTGGGAGAGAAGACGAAAGAAATTAGAAGAAAAGATGTGAGAGTGTTCCGACGGTGTGAGCTACTACAAAAGGTGAGTGAAATGAAGGCGTGAAAGCAGGTGAATGTGATAGAGTGAGGAACTGTGAGGTGTAGGTGTATGCGAATGAATACATGTGTGAATGCTAGGTGAAGAGTCTCAGTTTTGTGACATTTTCTTTCTGAATGCATAGATTAGGATTGTGTTTACGGATGAAAACAGCTTTGAAAATGTCGTGTAATCACCATCATGACACGTACTTCAGTAGGTCTACTCTGCACCAGATCAGACTCTGAGTCATTCACAGGACTGTGTTGAGAACTATAACTCTCAGTCTCACACTGCCAGTGACAACAACACTCACTTCAGGGTCCTGAAAAAAGATCTTGTGAGTTGATTGGCCTTGTACTAAACTTTACTTGTCTTTGTGGGGCCTGCGCCCCGTCTATGGTCGGCGATGGCAGACAACGCTTTGGCCTATGGAATTACTGTTGCGCTCGGTGAAGTCCGACCCAAAGTGCAAAGCTCATTGCAGCAGAACATCAGATCAAAATCAGATCAAATTTTGTTAATCCTGCACCCTCCCTAACCCAGCGTAGTTTTCGTAGCACACTTGGCACCAGATTATAAAGGTAAGGATTGCAATAACCAGAACCAGCTGAAGCGTCATTTCACGAATGTTTTATTGAGATGTGAAGAACAATTTCTAGAGAAAGTGGCAATGGAACAAGAACTACATGTGTGATGGAAACTTCGTGAAATGACGCTTCAGCGGGTTCTCTTTATTGCAATCCTTCTGTCACCTCGCCGCCTTTTCAGATTCTAAAGAAACCAGTGTAGTATGACACTACACGTACTACTCCCCGGAGGTAACATTCTCAGAGTGCTTCAGTCAGGACGTCACCTTATCCAAAGAGCGAATTTCTTACCCGATACTGTACATGCACCAGTACATGTTTCAACACTGGAGCCTGCCTTCCAAATCCTGATTGGCCATGGAACACAACTAGCCCGATGTGTAGGGATCGGCGGATTCTGCTCGAAAAGGTGGCAGATTCTGCTCAAAAAGCAGTGAAATAGCCAGAACCATACAAACCTTATGGCGGGCAATTCCTCGAATTCTGCTCCATTTTTTTATCCACATACCAAACATGCATGAAACTTATCAGAAAAAGTACCGAATTCTGCCAATTGTTCTGCCGGAAGAATCCGCCGGACCCTGCCGATGTGCCCTTTCCCTGACAAAGACAAATTTTGGTTTTGTCAAGCCCATAAACGTATACATCTTAATGATGGCTTGTTGAAATCGTGCAACTAATCCTCTTTCCAAGGCGCGGTGGCCTGGCATCCAAACCCACGTAAAAGCAGTTTCACACCCAGTTCAGTACAATGTGGCGAATGATGTTACTTTAGCCTGCCAATCTTCTCGATTTGGTAGGGACCGTCCCGATCTCGAGGCTGGGACACTTAAAAGTGCATCTGTCGCATGCCTCATGCCTCACAGGTACATGTACATTGCTATACATTTTCATACCTAAGTATGTCATTGTCCTGATCACAGGTTTGCAAAGGTTAGCAGGTGCAATGATTGAATGCTTTAGTCACACTCGATTACCATGCCAGGTTATATAGTATGGTTGATCAGGGGAAGGTGTCACTGTGTATCACCCACTACTCACTAGTACTAGATGAACAAGAGATGCCTCTTTGCCATCCCCTACCCTACAGTTTACACCTGCAGTGAAGCTTGTCTATTCCGACAGGTCGAGGAACCTAACAGATGTGGCCACAGTGTACAGGTGGTCGCATTATCCAGGGTCATTTGACCCTAGCCAGCATCCTTTGTACCTAGCAAGAGTATGGGGTTATGTACTCTTGTTCCGAACTGTAGAGGTCATGCAGGACAGGTGGTCGCCTTGACAGGGTTAAGCGTGTATGTATGCATATACATAATTCGTATCAACAAAGTGATGTTATTCCACCTGATGACTATCACAAAAACACATTCTTGGAACTTACTCACAAACTTTGCCTCTATGTGTTTATAGAATGAGTGCACGGTTGATCCTTATTATTGCTATAATAATTTTAAGGAAATCTTGCAGGACGCAACAAGCAGCTGCATCAGTAGAAATTGACCTATGAGCATCTTGAGTAGGAAAAGGACGAAATTACAATGGACAACGGGAACAGGTTAGGTTTGAACAACATGTATTGGGGAGACGGAGAGACAGAGACCAAGACGAACGAAACGACTACATTGTTGAATTATTTGGACACTACATGGGTTTCGAGTGCAAAACAAGTATGGATAAGATACGGCGGGCAATACAAAACCGTTTGCTCATTCACATAATCTGCATACAGTTGCAGAGAGTGTCCAAAACGCAACTAGCTACATGTAGAATCAAGTAACTAGTTGGATCAGCTCAAGAACTCGGGCGGTAGTTGAATTTTTATTCATAATTCACTTACACGCCCTGTCCTAGATAATAGATCAGCAAATTCACACCTAAATAGGTAAACTGATATAGAAGCACGTCGTTGCTGTAGAACAATATCGCAGCACAGCCAACAGCGGCGACCAGGAGAGACGGTGGAAAATGTGCTTCGAACCTACCCCGTACAAATATACGGCGGGGTTTCATCGCCAGTGCGAAGTTAATCGTAGTGGTCGTGACAGCTATGCCGTACACGATGTCGTCGCTGAGCGAATCTTGCCTTGACGGAGCAGTCTCGTTTGTGTCCGCCGCACAAGCACTGACCTGCAGATTGGAGATCAGAGTAGTAGTTGTGTGTGTATGTGTCAGAATGTATGCGTACGTGTGTGTGTGTGTGTGTTTGTGTGTGCGTATGTGTGTGTGTGCGTATGTGTGTTCGTGCGTGCACAAGCGTGTGTATGTATAGGTGTATGTGTGTGTGTTTGTGTGAGTGTGTGTATGCGTGTGTGTGTGTGTGTGCGTCATTTTTGGTGCAGTGCAATGAGTCACGCCGATGAATTCTTCTAAAATTTACGGTCAAACCAGGATGCTTCCCCAGGGTAAACTGCCTAAACTGCGGTTCTAGTCTGAGCCTCGAGTCAAGGAGCAAAAGTTAAACAAAGTATGCACACGAAAGACAAAACTATTTTTTTCGATGCAATGGTGACTCTTCATCGCCTTCTTCTTTCACCATTTTCAAGAACAATTTCTTCCCCAGGCCATCGGCATATTTTTGGTGCTTTCCTGGAAGATAATTTCAAATGGTTGAGGAACTTGAGAATACGTCGAAGGAGCATTTGTGATTTCCTGGTGCATGAAGGCCGAAGCAGTACGCGTACAGACGTTATTGTTGAACAGAACATCATGTTAACATTAATTTTGTTCTTTTCTTCAGTCGTTGCATGTTATAGTGGACATACAGCAGACTGTTCATCTGGTTTGTGATATTTCCTTCCTCTGTTTGTGAGTCCCCTTCCATCAATATAGCAGCTTGTTTTGATTTCCTTTTTTTCAATTCATTTTGCTGTACTTTCTGTTTTGTTTGCGCCACTGCCCCTCACCTTGCGCTCAGTTCTCTGAGTGGAGGGCGGCGTGACCCCAAGGGGTAGCTGATTGATAGTAGTAGTAGTAGTAGTAGTAGTAGTAGTAGTAGTAGTAGTAGTGTGTGTGTATGTGTGTGTGTGTTTGTGTGTGTGGTGTGTGCATGCGTGTGTGGTGATGGCAGAGCCAGTGTTGCTCACAATCCACTTATAGCAGCAGTACATTCATGTTAACAAGATTCAAGAACAGAAAAACAAGGGCAATCAAGGCTTGTTTGCTGCGACTTGAAGTTTCATGCTCTCGCAATCATCAGGCAACAATCTCATCAGGCAAAAACCTGTCGCCTGATGATTGCGAGAGCATGAAACTTCAAGTCGCAGCAAACAAGCCTTGATTGTCCTTGATTGTCCTTGTTGTTCTGTTCTGTAATCTTGTTTACATGTATGTACTGCTGCTATAAGTGGATTGTGAGCAACACTGGCCCCTCACACTGGCCCCTCACACTGGCCCCTCACACTGGCCCCTCACACTGGCCCCTCACACTGGCTCCTCACACTGGCCCCTCACACTGGCTCACAATGGGCTCACACTGGCTCACACTGGCCCCTCAAACTCAATCACTGCTTTCTACAAATCCATCAAAAGTTGTCAACGTGTCGGTCATAAAATAACCATCATCAAGAATGAAGTGGGCATACTACAAACACTAATCTATACTGTGGACAACTGTAGCTGTTTGGGCCATCTAGGCTTCATCAGTACAGCTGCAAGCGCTAGAATTAAGTAAGCCAAACTGTCAGCCAGTCGACAAGGACGCCACTACAGACACAATACCGGCATTAGGAATGTTATGCTCTCTCAAGCTTTATTTCCATATGATTAAATTTCACTGCAAGGGTTCTGTTCGAGGCACAGTATAGAAATCTAAGAATCAGATACTGTAAATATACAAAATTTCGGCGCTGCAAAATTTCGGCACTCCACGATTTTGACATTTCGGCGGCGATTTATGTTCGGCGTGGGGTAGAGGGCATGGTATAGTGCGACAGATACTGTGAAAAATTTCATCGGCGTTTTAATTTTGGCGTTTTGGGTCGGTGTCGAATATAGCCGAAATTAAATAGCTGCCGAAAATTTGTATATTTACAGTAGTCAGGCCTCTCTTCGTACTGATACGAGTTTCCCAGCA